TTACAGTAACCCGGCTCCCGAGTGTCTTATTCCCCCTGTAATATCCTATTACAGTAACCCGGCTCCCGAGTGTCTTATTACCCTGTAATATCTTATTACAGTAACCCGGCTCCCGAGTGTCATATTACCCTGTAATATCTTATTACAGTAACCCGGCTCCCGAGTGTCTTATTACCCCTGTAATATCTTAGTACAGTAACCCGGCTCCCGAGTGTCTTATTACCCCTGTAATATCTTAGTACAGTAACCCGGCTCCCGAGTGTCTTATTCCCCCTGTAATATCCTATTACAGTAACCCGGCTCCCGAGTGTCTTATTACCCTGTAATATCTTATTACAGTAACCCGGCTCCCGAGTGTCATATTACCCTGTAATATCTTATTACAGTAACCCGGCTCCCGAGTGTCTTATTACCCCTGTAATATCTTAGTACAGATAACCCGGCTCCCGAGTGTCTTATTACCCCTGTAATATCTTAGTACAGTAACCCGGCTCCCGAGTGTCTTATTACCCCTGTAATATCTTAGTACAGTAACCCGGCTCCCGAGTGTCTTATTCCCCCTGTAATATCTTATTACGGTAACCCGGCTCCCGAGTGTCTTATTCCCCTGTAATATCCTATTACAGTAACCCGGCTCCCGAGTGTCTTATTACCCCTGTAATATCTTATTACGGTAACCCGGCTCCCGAGTGTCTTATTCCCCCTGTAATATCTTATTACGGTAACCCGGCTCCCGAGTGTCTTATTCCCCTGTAATATCTTATTACGGTAACCCGGCTCCTGAGTGTCTTATTCCCCCTGTAATATCTTATTACAGTAACCCGGCTCCCGAGTGTCTTATTCCCCCTGTAATATCTTATTACGGTAACCCGGCTCCTGAGTGTCTTATTACCCTGTAATATATTATTACAGTAACCCGGCTCCCGAGTGTCTTATTCCCCCTGTAATATCTTATTACAGTAATCTTATTACCCGGCTCCTGAGTGTCTTATTCCCCTGTAATATCTTATTATGGTAACCCGGCTCCCGAGTGTCTTATTCCCCCAGTAATATCTTATTACGGTAACCCGGCTCCCGAGTGTCTTATTCCCCCTGTAATATCTTATTACGGTAACCCGGCTCCCGAGTGTCTTATTCCCCCTGTAATATCTTATTACGGTAACCCGGCTCCCGAGTGTCTTATTCCCCTGTAATATCTTATTTTGGTAACCCGGCTCCTGAGTGTCTTATTCCCCTGTAATATCTTATTACAGTAACCCGACTCCCGAGTGTCTTATTCCCCTGTAATATCTTATTACAGTAACCCGGCTCCCGAGTGTCTTATTCCCCCTGTAATATATTATTACAGTAACCCGGCTTCAGAGTGTCTTATTACCCCTGTAATATATTATTACAGTAACCCGGCTCCTGAGTGTCTTATTCCCCTGTAATATCTTATTACGGTAACCCGGCTCCTGAGTGTCTTATTCCCCCTGTAATATATTATTACAGTAACCCGGCTCCCGAGTGTCTTATTCCCCCTGTAATATCTTATTACAGTAACCCGTCTCCCGAGTGTCTTATTCCCCCTGTAATATCTTATTACGGTAACCCGGCTCCTGAGTGTCTTATTCCCCCTGTAATATATTATTACAGTAACCTGGCTCCCGAGTGTCTTATTACCCCGTAATATCTTATTACAGTAACCCGGCTCCCGAGTGTCTTATTACCCCTGTAATATCTTATTACAGTAACCCGGCTCCTGAGTGTCTTATTACCCTGTAATATCTTATTACAGTAACCCGGCTCCCGAGTGTCTTATTACCCCTGTAATATCTTATTATGGTAACCCGGCTCCTGAGTGTCTTATTCCCCCTGTAATATCTTATTACAGTAACCCGGCTCCCGAGTGTCTTATTCCCCCTGTAATATCTTATTACAGTAACCCGGCTCCCGAGTGTCTTATTCCCCCTGTAATATCTTATTACAGTAACCCGGCTCCCGAGTGTCTTATTCCCCTGTAATATCTTATTACAGTAACCCAACACCTGAGTGTATCACCTGTTTCTTTACCCTCCTTTCTTGCTATTATGAACTGTTTTTTTTCATACTCACTGTCAAAGTAGCTTGTATCATCTTCAGCCTCCAGATGAGGTATAAATTCAGCTTTTTGTCTCAGTAACCCATTCCAATCCAAATCTGTGAAAAATTTGTGTGCTTTGACCTCAATAGCGCTCCCTGCGATAACAAAACGACAGGAAATCACATAAAACACATACATTGTTTGCGATCATAATATATTTCTTTTACACTTTATACATAAATGGATCCCTGCACCTCCACCATGACCTTATTAACAATCATACTCTATAACCATAGGGCTTCATCAAGTAGTACTGCAATAAAGAAATGTATGGCCAAAATTTGTTGGCCATACTTCTCTTCAGGATCACAGGTGTACACTTATTTTTGTCCTCCTGTGACCCAGAGTCAGCTGTTAGGGCACTATTGCCTGCTATCAGCTGGAAGAGGCAGCACAGGAAGGATCCCGACAATATGAAACAAGATAGAGAGATAGATACACAGCATATACAGATAGATAGATAGATAGATAGATAGATAGATAGATAGATAGATAGATAGATAGATAGATAGATAGATAGATAATATGAGAAATAAAGTTTGAAATGTTCTGAACTCTCTCATCACTTTCATGCCAAATGGCACTAAAAAAGCATTCTGCATATCCCAGTGCCTGTCAAGCAGGTTATTGTTTGGCCATTTAAACATGTTTGGGACAAACATAGATCTATATTCAGCAAAAAAAGGTTAAAAAACAAAAGAAAGAAAGAAAAACAAGAAAAAATTAAAAAAGAGCACTTGGTCTATTTCTGTTGCAGCTCTTCTAGGTTTCGATGTTTATTAACCTCCCTAGCGGTCTGATTATGTCCATATTTCTGTGCTGAAAGCGGTACATTTTTTGCATGGAAATATGTAGTTTTTTTTTATTGTAGGCCTGTAATTCTTAGGAATAACTCACTGAAATCTGTCCGAACAAGAGTCTAGTAAACATCCCGGGTATGATAAAATTTTAAACACGAAATAATAAATTATAATATAATAAATAATCATAAAAAATAATAATATCATAATAATAAATTTAATTCAATAATGTAATCAAACCAAAAACACTGAAATTTGTATTAGAGCGTCAAGTTCGCACATCACTGAGCAAAGTCGCAGAATCGTTTTCAGTGTCTGATGACGAATTTCCCCACGAATCATTATCACTCAATTCTGCAAGTGGTTCTGATTTACTATCGCTGTGTTCTCTAGCTGTTCTAAAACCGCTTTTGACCTAAAGGGACGCTTTTTGGACGCCATGGACTTTTCTCAGTTTCCAGGCAGAAAGAACAGTAAAAATGCAGGCAGGGCGCAGGACAAAGCACTCGGGACAAAATGTATGTGAAATGGTTTGATACAATAATGTTATACTGTGTGATTTTAGTGTATTAGTGAATGTCACTTTTTAAAATTTTTAAATTTCCCGCCGGTTCCATCCCCATACGTCCTGACGCTCGCAGGGACCAGAACCCGGAAGACGGATGCCGGCATCGGCCGAAGGAGAGGGCCCGGGGATGTTGCAGTGGGGACATCGCGGGAGCGCAGGACAAGGTAAGTCATCGAGGGAATCCCAGAGCAACGCTGCAGGGTAATCCCGAGTGTAGCTCGGGGTTACCGCTTTTGATACTGATATCGGGAATACCACCAGGGAGGTTGAAGCAATCATGTGTCCAGTCTATCGACATTATAGTATCTACATATTTTTAACAAGCAGTAAAAAGAGCTTTCAAAACAAGCCTTCACTTTTCCTCAATAGGAGGGGGCATGAGCATTTGCCCAACCGATTTTCAGCATAAATGGCCTCTAAAGCTGGCCATAAAGATAGAAAATTTCAGACAGTCCCTGATGCCCCAGCCGAAATTTGAACCATGGGTGGCCATGCTGGCACCACTCAGCCAGGCATCCCTCAAGCTGAAAATCATATGAGCTGGGGAGTAAATTGCTGGCCGAACAGTGACTGCAGCCAATCAGATACAGGCACTGTTCAGGTATTCTCAATCTTGCATGTGCTGGCTTTCAGAATACAATGGCTGGCAGGGGATATTCATTGTTTTCACACAGTTTAATGTGGATGGGGGAATCCATAGAAAACTAAGAGTGCATGGTCTCTAAGTTCCAGAGGGTCTTTGGACAGTTGCCCAGTTTGCACAAGTTGCAAGTCCAACTCATTGACATTTAGTGAACCAAGTATTAGTACTGATAAATCAACTGGGACAGCTGAAGATGACTAACACATTTGTGCTCTATTACTGTTAATATTCATTTGTTCGGTGCAGGGGCAGACTGACAACTCGTGGGGCCCCTGGGCAATAGGGGATCATGGGGCCCCTGTGTCCTTGCCCAAACTCAAAAAAGCCTATGAAAAAGGTACCAGGGGCATCTCATGGGGCCCCCTACTGACCCTGGGCCCTTGAGCAGTGCCCAAGTTTCCAAATGGTCAGTCCGCCCCTGATTCAGTGTGGCTACTAGAAAAATGAGTTAGATAAATCTTTCTGTTGGAATGTGGAGTGCAAGCCCATTCACTAGGAACTTTGACCCAATATGTCTAACCTGTGCCCAGTCTGAGCAAGGGGTCTGTCTGCAGGAGGCTAGAAATAAGATTTTGGGCATCATTTGGAAGTGCTTCCTCCCCCTCTGGCCAGACTATGTCATCTGGAAGAGAATAAACAAGGTGAATTAACATGAGAAGAGCATGACATAAATATTAATTATCACATTTTTTGGGAAATCAAACAAGTTTAACTGCTAGTCCATCAAACCCCTAATTTTGCAAATTCTGAAATGTTGACCAAATCTGCCAGACTACATTCAGAACTATGACAGCCTTGCATTATAACAACTCAAAAAAATTACCATTTTTCAGACAGGGACAGCAGAGAAATGCACAGATGAGATAGCTAAACATATGAAAGACAGGAGGATAAGATATACTCACCACTGATCACCTGACCAAACAGCTCTTCAGGGGTGTCACCAAAAAAAGGGACACAGCCCACTAGGAACTCATACAGTATAATGCCCATTGCCCACCAATCCACTGGCTTTCCATAGCCCTGTCGCAGGATTACCTCTGGAGCAATGTATTCTGGGGTCCCACAAACCTGGGATACAAGAAAAAATATGTTCCTCTAGTTATTGCCTTTCTATTATAAAACAGACTTTGTGAAAAGTCTTTCCCAGCCATAACGTCTGCCCTTCCAACCACAGGGTGACACAGACAGGAGGAGCTTATGGCATGGAGTCTGTCCCTCCCACTACAGAGTGACACAGACAGGAGGAGCTATATGGCATGGAGTCTGTCCCTCCCACTACAGGGTGACACAGACAGGAGGAGCTATATGGCATGGAGTCTGTCCCTCCCACCACAGGGTGACGCAGACAGGAGGAGCTATATGACATGGGGTCTGTCCCTCCCACCACAGGGTGACACAGACAGGAGGAGCTATATGGCATTGAGTTTGTCCCTCCCACCACAGGGTGAAACAGAAAGGAGGAGCTATATGGCATGGAGTCTGTCCCTCCCACCACAGGGTGAAACAGACAGGAGGAGCTATATGGCATGGAATCTGTCCCTCCCACCACAGGGTGAAACAGACAGGAGGAGCTATATGGCATGGAGTCTGTCCCTCCCACCACAGGGTAACACCACCCAGGATGAGCTATGTGTATCATGGACTTTGTCCCTTCTACCACAGGGTGACATAGACAATTTAAAGTAACCCTTTATTATCACCTGTTTGTCCAGGAATTCTCTGGCCTCACTCTCGATATGTCCTTCATATAAATTGGTGGTGAGATTCATAAGCCCCATTTTGGATAAGCCAAAATCAGTTAGTTTTACATGACCCATGGAAGTAATCAAAAGACTGAAGTAAGAAAAAAGAACAGAGACAGAAAGGAGTAAAGATACATTTAGTCAGACATTAACAGAGAAAGACACGGACTATGCATACTAATATATACCAGTGTGGAAGGAAAACGTTTCAGTGTTGGCCTCAACCATTGGGCCTGATCTATGGAGAGGGTCCAGCCTTGTATACATGTCTTTCCTTACTCACTGCACCAACAGAAACATTATACACTGTGTATGAGCTAGAAGATGCTTTTATACTCACAACTGTATTAGACTGTGTGAGCACTGAAGGTGTATAGTAGGTACCAGGGGCGGACTGACAACTCATGGGGGCCCCCGGGCAATAGGGGATCATGGGGCCCCTGAGTCCTTGCCCAAGCTCAAAGAAGCCTATGAAAAAGGTACCAGGGGCATCTCATGGGGCCCCCTACTGACCCCGGGCCCTCGGGCAGTGCCTGAGTTTCCAAATGGTCAGTCCGCCCCTGGTAGGTACTATACATGTATGTGTATATAGTAGGTGGTACTTACTCTTCACATTTTTAATAGAGGCAACTGGAGTTTTCAACACCTTTGCTATATTCATGACTATAAAAGCACTTTGATGCAGTTGTATTGCAAGGCAGGGTGGTGTGAGTTCTTTGCCCAAAGTACAGCAAGCCAAAGAGTGCTCTATAAGTGTAGGCAGGGGGCACGTGACCCAGACCAGAGATGCCACCTTTGCACATTAACACTATGGGAGATCTCGGTAAAGCCAAAATGTACTTTGTCCGCAAGTGTGCGGATTGCAACTCTGCAGAAACACCTTCATGGTAGTATGTGCCTGCCCTGTGTATACCCCTGAAGAGCAGAGGGAAGCTCTTGTAGGCTCCTCCTTAGCTCAGATGTGTCACATGACACAAAGGCGAGGGAAGTTGGGAGGGCTTCCCCTTGTTTTGCACCAGGCTCCACTCTGATTCTAAAGTCTGATACATTTTTTTGCACGGAGGGAAAGTGGAATATCTTTGCAGAGAGGAGATTTTTTCTGGGGAAGGGTGGCAGAATTGGCGCTGGGAGACATGACCACATATTGTCACATTTACCCATCTGTTGCTCACATTATTGCCCAGGTGATGTCTGCAAGCACAGCCTAGGGGTGGCCCCTGATGGTGGTCAAACCTTCTGTCTTCTAGAGGCAGCACAGTTAATCACAAAGAAGTATACAGAGAACAACTGGTCACAGAGGGGAGGGTGCTGTGCCCTTCAATTAGAGAGGGAGGGTGCTGTGCCTTTCAATCAGAGGAGAGGGTGCTGTGCCCTTCAATCAGAGGGGAGGGTGCTGTGCTTTTCAATCAGAGGGGAGGGTGCTGTGCCTTTCAATCAGAGAGGGAGAGTGCTGTGCCCTTCAATCAGAAGGGAGGGTGCTGTGCCCTCCAATCAGAGGGGAGGGTGCTGTGCCCTTCAATCAAAGAGGGAGGGTGCTGTGCCCTTCAATTAGAAGGGAGGGTGCTGTGTCCTTAAACCAGACAGGGAGGGTGCTGTGCCCTTCAATCAGAAGGGAAGGTGCTGTGCCCTTCAACCAGACAGGGATGGTGCTGTGCTCTTCAATCAGAGAGGGAGGGTGCTGTGCCTTTCAATCAGAGGGGAGGGTGCTGTGCCCTTCAATCAGAGAGGGAGGGTGCTGTGCCCTTCAATCAGAGAGGGAGGGTGCTGTGCCCTTCAATCAGAGAGGGAGGGTGCTGTGCCCTTCAATCAGAGGGGAGGGTGCTGTGCCCTTCAACTAGAGAGGGAAGGTGCTGTGCCCTTCAATCAGAGGAGAGGGTGCTGTGCCCTTCAATTAGGGGGGAGGGTGCTGTGCTCTTCAAACAGAGGGGAGGGTGCTGTGCCCTTCAATCAGAGAGGGAGGGTGCTGTGCCCTTCAATCAGAGAGGGAGAATGCTGTGCCCTTCAATCAGAGAGGGAGGGTGCTGTGCTCTTCAAACAGAGGGGAGGGTGCTGTGCCCTTCAATCAGAGAGGGAGGGTGCTGTGCCCTTCAATCAGAGAGGGAGGGTGCTGTGCCCTTCAATCAGGGGGGAGGGTGCTGTGCCCTTCAATCAGAGAGGGAAGGTGCTGTGCCCTTCAATCAGAGAGGGAGGGTGCTGTGCCCTTCAATCAGGGGGGAGGGTGCTGTGCCCTTCAATCAGAGAGGGAAGGTGCTGTGCCCTTCAATCAGAGAGGGAGGGTGCTGTGCCCTTCAATCAGGGGGGAGGGTGCTGTGCCCTTCAATCAGGGGGGAGGGTGCTGTGCTCTTCAATGAACTTAGACAAAAAGATTTTATGATGAGTACAAAAATTCCATTTTTACAACGGTTGCCTAATTGTTGCCTGCATATGTTATATGATTGCCCATTTGTACCCTTTGTATTGTCACCTCTGCCACTTATTTTCCTACATATCATCAACTCACTATTGTTTAGAGGACCATATTAATATAATCAATTCCCTAGAAGGCCTGTCATTCAAACCACCCCATTACTTTCCCCCATGCTTTGTTCAGTTCGCTAAGTATGCCTCTATTAAACCCTTACACATGAGTGGGGAGGGTGTTAAAAAAAATACTGGGGTATCAGATATGTTAAATTTGCTGCTGCTTGTATGTACTCAGTTATGCTACATGTCTGGTCCTCACTTGTCAGGTTTCAGATCTCGGTGAACTATCCCATAATTGTGCAGGTACTCCAAAGCCAATACAGTCTCAGCGAAATATAGCCGTGCCATCTCCAGTGGAAGGGCACCAATGTGCTTCAGAAGCGTGGCACAGTCGCCCCCTGCCGAGGACAGAAACACAGCATCAGTAAGAGTACAGTAAAACACTTCATGCAGAATTTATACAATCACTTCTTCAGTGGCATATTGGGATCAGGAGGAAAACTTGTAGCTTTTAGGAAACAAACTGCAAAGGAGGCAGGCTGGGATTCGAAATACTTCATAAAGGACTGATACTTAAACATAAAGCCTAGATTATTTTAAAGTGCTATTTAAAGTGCTATTCCTTTTGCCATCCCATAGAACAGTTTCCATGCACAGAGGCAGCTGTAAGCTCTTTATTGCTCCCTCTCTTATGGCACAGTACCTGCACAGCAGCTGCGGATCACTCTTTTATGTTTATAAGCTTTTTTTTATTGATTTATTTATTTCACACACACCCATATATATATATATTTATTTCAGGTACTTATATAGCGCCGTCAATTTACGCAGCACTTTACATATATATATTGTACATTCACATCAGTCCCTAACCCTCAAGGGGTGTACAATCTAAGGTCCCTAACTTACATTCATTCATACACATACTAGGGACAATTTAGACAGGAGCCAACTCCTTATTTTATTATATTCATCTGTCTATAAAATGGGGTTACAAAGGGAAGTAAGCATGTGCATCTGGTGGGGCAGTACAAAAGTGCCGGCCTACCCTTGGGGTAGGCCGGCAAGTTGAACTGGATAGTTCTACCTTTTTGGAAATTTTTCACATAGTGACAGCCCCCCATGTTCACTGTTTAAAAAGCCAGTTATAGACCTGGGCAGGTGATCAGTTTTTTTCTTTGTATGCTTGTAGGTTCAGTGGGTGCACTGGACTCCCTAGCTGCCGTTGTGCAACATGCTGGGTGTCAGGTGCGCTCCCATAACCTTTTTAATGAAGGGTGGGGCTCCCCTCATGTTTATCTGCCCTTGTTTCTATCCATTTAAATGCATGTGCCTCCACTGTGAGGACTCTTTAGACTTGTAGAGTTAGGACCACAGATACTCAGGGTGCTGTGACGCGGCTCTGTGGCTTACGTATGTATTTGCAAATGTGTACTAACTAAACCCCTGTTTTTAAACGCATGTTTCCAGACAGGTTAATTTGGTTTTTGATAGTTGGCTAACTGGCTGACAGTTTGAACTGGCTTTTCTTATCCCCCTTTGTTGATAAGATGTACATATCCTTGTTCCTTGCCAATAATAGCCGCTATTAGATTGGGGTAGGCCGGCAAGTTGAACTGGATAGTTCTACCTTTTTGGAAATTTTTCACATAGTGACAGCCCCCCATGTTCACTGTTTAAAAAGCCAGTTATAGACCTGGGCAGGTGATCAGTTTTTTCTCAGTACAAAAGTGAGCCTGTTACTTTGCTCTACATAGCCAAATCATTAGGTTGCTGAGCTGCTGAGTTCTGTAGATGCCAGGCTTCTTTTTGACATAAGGAAAAACCTATGCAAATACGTCTAAAGATCCATTGGCTCAAAAGAAGAATACAAGATATGAATGTGCAATATTTTATTTTAACCTGATTCCAGGCCTGTTACCCCGTCCTACGTCCTTCGAAGTACCCAAAAATGTTTTTTTAATTAAACCTGATACATACCTCTTACCAATGATGCCACCAAGACTGACTCTTCTTTCTTGGGTGACAGCAAGGGGGCAGGCATTCCTCCAGGACTGAACAGCACTCACGTAATGACATGTAAATGCCGCTCAGTCCTGGAGTACTGTGATCCCCAGCCCTGGGGGGAGTGTAAACAACAAGATGGCCATGGGGCAGCAGAGTGGCTAAATGGTTAGCACTTCTGTACTAGCAGTGCTAGGGTCATTGGTTCAAATCCCAACCATGGCATCACCCACCTGGAGTTTGCATGTTCTCCCTGTGCCTGCATGGGTTTCCTCCCACACTCCAAAGACATGCTGGGAGGTTAATTGGTTCCTGTCTAAACTGGCCCTAATATGTGTATATATGAATGTGAGTTAGGGACCTTAGACCTTAGATTGTACACCCCTTGAGGGTTAGGGACTGATGTGAATGTACAATATATATGTAAAGCACTGCATAAATTGACAGCACCAGTGGTGGACTGACAACTCATGGGGCCCCCAGGCAATAGGGGATCATGGGGCCCCCCGTGTCCTTGCCCAAACTCAAAAAAGCCTATGAAAAAGGTACCAAGGGCATCTCATGGGGCCCCCTACTGACCCCGGGCCCTTGGGCAGTGCCTGAGTTTCCAAATGGTCAGTCCGCCCCTGGACAGCACTATGGTGTCCTTTTATGAAACAGAGATCAGCGGCGATCCTGAGGATCGTTGCTGATCTCCGATCATTTGTGGTTTAGGAAACAGAGATGATCAGTGGAGAACATATTCTCCGCTGATCATCTCAGCACACAGATGGCCAGTATATGAAGGAGTGATGTCAGCCCTTCACTGGCAATCTGTGTTCTCCGTGCAGATTCTCCAGCCCAAGCTGGAGAATCGGAGGAACCGGAGGTGTTTGACTGATCTCTTACTGTAATCTCGTGAGATTATAGTAAAATCAGCCGTTTTCCAGCGTTTGTAGATTGTTCTTCCTTCGTTCCGAGAACTGATCTACACCGCTTCATAAAAGGCATTCACAGGAGAACTGTGTTCTCCGAGAATGCCGGAGAACTCAGCAGCAGTCATTTACCACTGCTTGATAAGAGGACACCTATATAAGTATCTGAAATAAATAAATAAATAATACACAAAAAAAAAACCAGAATGACAGTGTGTTTGTAGGCAGGTATAGTTCAGCCTCCCTGCAAAGGAGGTGCTGTTACGGCAGCTGCCATGCAGAGAGGATGGAGAATAGGAGGAACTCTTGTTCCTCTGAGGCTTCCATAGGCTTCATCAGAGGAGCAGTCATCCAATTGAATGCTACTGTGCTGGATGACATCTTCAGACATCTTTAGTAAAGGCAGTGCTAAAAAATAGCACTGTCCCACTGAAGTTGGCATGCATTTTGTGAAGTGGCTAGATCAGGGATAGGAACTGTTGGTGAGGGACAGTGTGACTAGTATAGGGAGAGTTTCTGATGGAGTAGGGAATGCACGTCTGAACCACCAGCTAGGAATGCCTGCTACCTATCTGCCTATCGGAGCATGGAGAAGGAATGTGCACTATTTTTTTTATACAAGAGGGGGAACATAAAAAGTGAAAGTAACAATCTTCGAGTTCTACTTTAAAATAAGAATAAAAAAGATTTTAATGCTGTATTTTTGTTAGCCCTGACCAGCAGGGGTAGACTGACAACTCATGGGGCCCCCGGGCAATAGGGGATCATGGGGCCCCTGTGTCCTTGCCCAAACCTAAAAAAGCCTATGAAAAAGGTACCAGGGGCATCTCATGGGGCCCCCTACTGACCCTGGGCCCTCGGGCAGTGCCCGAGTTTCCAAATGGTCAGTCCGCCCCTGCTGACCAGCATTAATAAATAAAGAAAGTATCAAAACATCTTAAAGCACACCAATTTTTGGAATTTAGATCGACATTAAAGTGGTTGTAAACTTCAGACATGAAATAAGAACAAAGCATATCCCACTATAGTGCGTAGTTGTTCTAGTTAAGAGCACTAAGTGTCATTTCTCTCTGCTGCTACATTCTTCTGCTATCAGCATGAATCACTTCTGACAAGTTTTCCTGACTCCAAGAGAAAAATGGTGACATGGGAGGGACCTCCAGCTGATTGAAAGCCTCAGATCTGTTCCTGTGACTGTGTGTGAAGGGGGGTGTCCCTTCCCTCCAATCAGCTCTCCTTACTGAGCGCTTTAGAATGTAACTTCAGCTCCCCGCCCCTTTTTTTCTGAAATCTGCACTTTGAACACAGATGTAGAGGATAGAAGACTGCAAATAAACAGGTACAACGTATGTAGGAGGATTTTTTTTTCATCTATGTGTATCATCTGAGGCCAGGCACTTCAGTGGATATATGTAAGGTATGTAAGGGTTTACAATCACTTAAAAGATCTCCAGGTGCTGCTATTACCTGACATTTCCAAGAGTGTGGGATGCCAAACGGAACTGTGATTCCCTCCAATAGGAATGTAGGAAGATCACTGGGTATATGTAAGGGTTTAAAACCACTTTAACAACTGAATAAAGCATTTTGGAGGGAAGGGGTTTAAGCATTTTATTTAACTGTACACATACTGTATATCTTGAGCCTCACCTTCCACATACTCCATGACCATACAGAGATGCCGGCGGGTCTGAAAGGAGCAGAACATGCTGACCACAAAAGGGTTCTGTGCAAAAGTCAGGATGTCCCTCTCTACAAAGGCCTGATGGACTTGGTTCCTCAGGAGAAGGTTCTGCTTGTTGATTTTCTTCATAGCAAACCTCTGTCGGGTCTCCCGGTGTCGTACCAAATATACAGCCCTGTGGTGAAGGGGACCAGCCAACAATAACACCTTTTTTTTTGACAATTTCATTAATTAGCCCTTCAAATACATTCTGTATATTGCATATATACTGTGACAGTACATTGAACAATGATTTAGGCAAATGTGGCATGAAAATAGCATATTCTAATCTGCTTCCATAGATATTAGGATAGGCCTTGTCAATGCACTTTCTCACAATTTCTAGAACAGGTTCTTAGTGGGAGGTACTTAAATAATAATCAAAGGGTCAGCCCCAGTGTGTGCAAACTAAACCCCCTGTTTTTATTTGAACTGTTAGGGTCAATTTGGTTTGTTGCAGGCTGGCTGGTAAGTGAGCTGGGAATTTTTGTTAATTTCTAACAAGACCAGAGGACATGGAGGTTGGTACCTTCTTCCTCTTTACACTTTCACTGCCTCAGGATAGAGTGTTTTCAGCAGAGCCGGGATGCAGAACCAGCAAATGAGGAATTTATAGCCCAACTCTTGGTATTTGCTTGCAATGGAGGAATAATGGGCAAGTAACAGCAGTTTTTAATGGGATCCCATGCTGTGGGAAATATGGTACTTGACATTGCTGACCTACTGAAAATGTTAGATCCCTGGATGTCATGCTGGTGTTCTAGCTTTGATGAGTTCCGGAGAAGTGCCAGGCTCAGACCAGTGAGTAAAACTAAATACCGGTAAGAATGGAGGAGGATAGCCTTGACCTGGATATAACATTTCCTGCAAAAGCCCGTTTGTGGCTAATGCCTTTGAGCGAGGAAGCCATTTTATGATCTGGGCATATAGGCACAAAACAGATTGTTTCAGCTCACAAACTGGCTGTCTTCTCAGTGTCTTTTTCAAAATACTAGGCATTTATATACTTATAGAGGCATTCTACAAAAATTAAGATGCTGGCCACATTATGTTGAACCATTAAGACTGCAAATGTTCTAGTACAGATTGGAAAATGAAAGCTAAAACCTGATTGGTTGCTATACAAAAGACCTCCACTTCTTTTTGATTTCATGTTTGATATGCTAAGCACTCATTAAGCATGGAAACTTAGTTGTCGGTAAATAGTGGCCCCCAAACCCTATGCAAAGCCTATTGTTCGTGTTCTTTTTCGACTGCAAAAGTGTTGCATTTGACGAGGAACACTCACCCATAGGCACCATTACTGATCAGCTTAATGGTTTCAAAGTCGCTCTCCTCTGGCGGTCTTATGTGCTTTGAGACTGCACCTACTTTTCCCTGAAACAAGGGTCACAGAGAAATCTAAGGTAAATTTAAGGTAGGTTGAGATATAATATATACAAGAAAAGACAGAATGCAGAATTAACACCTTTTCCATGTAAAGAAAAATACAAATCTAAAATAAAACCATCTGCAGGCAAAACCTGGTATCGTCATCCAAGCATCCAAGTGCTCTGGAAATATACATCAATGGTCAGATCACGTCAACCAGGTAATGCTAACAATAGAAGAGCAAGCGTCTTGTGATGCTTAGTAAGCAGAAACTCTTTTGTTCTTAGTATTGTATAGTGAGGTCTCTGCTGCAGTATCCTTTTAAATCATGAATTATAAAGCTAATGGACATCAGTCTCACCTCCCCGATGTCCTCACTGTCTGGTGTGTGCGTCTCCACGCTGACTGGCTCCTCAGCAGCCACAACCTCTGTGCAAATAAAGCAGCAAATTAATAGTAAGGCTTTTCTTCTCATTACAACAGTAGCAATCCAATAGATCCAAATTCAGACATGGACCATGATGCCTCACAGCTTGTGATGTCAGTGCTGTTGTGGAAAGTTATGGCACATTACCAGTCTTTCTGTTTTATGACCCACTCATTTATTAGTATTGGAGAGTAGACTGGTAAGTGAACAAAATGGACCAGCAATCAGAGAAAACGAGTTGCCAGTTTAAATGTTGGCCTCCACAAGTCCGCTCCCAATTTGTCTCCTCCAAAACTTTATATCCCCAACTGTTAGTTAAAGGCTAAGGCTTCATAATCTCTGGTATGGAATCCTGAAGGAGATAAAGACACCAGTAGACCTAGGAATATTTGGAGAATATAGCTTAGGCCCCATTCTAATTTAGCATGAAGCACACTAAGGCAGAGGCGTATCTACCGCAAGGCAAATGAGGCGTTTGTCCTTGGGCGGCTTTTTTTCAGGGGGACTGTCACCACCCCCAGGCCAGTGGTATCCATGGGTGCAGGGTGTTCACTGAACGCAGGCCTCTGACATACACTGCATACATGGATGATACTGTCAGGTACTACAGCTGCAGCAGGGGTTAAGTGTCCCCGCATATAGTGTCCCCTCTGCTGTCCCTGCCCCCCTCCCGTGCTATCCCACCTGCGACCTGAGCCCCTATAATGTCTCAAGACTGGTGTTCGTCTGCCACCACCTGTGCTTGATCTGTTCTGGGTAGATGGCTATTTAGGGGCTTTGCCCTCAGAAGTCAATGCTGGTTTTAGTTTGTTCTAACTGTGGCTCTTTGGCATCATTTATTCTGATCCTATAGCCTGATCTGTATTGACTTTTCTTTTTATTCTGTTTGTTTGATTGAATATGTATCCTGTTGCTCCCAGTTCCAACTCAGTTCCTGGCTGTCTGCTGTATACTGACTTATCTGACATTTGTCCTGTTGCAAGTCTATCTGTACATTCACCTAACTTAAGTGCATTTCAAGGAGAGCTGGCAATGTGGTATGCTCGTTTGTGTGTTCTGACCCTGTACCTGCTGTTCTGAGGGTCCCCACTGTTCCCTATGTTTCTTTTCTTGCTCTGCTCTGTATTTCTCTCATGCTCATAACGTTTCTTGGCTCCAAAACCGCTAGACATAAGCGGAAGGCCCCAGGGGCCCAGGCACCACCCTAGTCTACTTGGAATCTAGGAGCAGCTTACCTGGGAAAGGGTCCCTCGTGAGTCCCAGCTGACGAAGGATATATTGGGGTATGTCTGTCTTCAGATTGCCCTCCTTCACCTGGTCCTCAGCTGCCTCCAGTAAATGATAAAAAACTCCTCAGGGTTAAACTCCTAAAACAAAAATATTAGTCAACTTGACCCAAACAGAAAGATAGTCTATTTGCACTCTTTGCATGCCCCTATGTTCTTCTGCAATTTTTTTCTTACACTTTAAAAACATACTGGTAGGGGAACTGCCTTCTGTAGGAGCATAAGTAAAAACATTCTCCACTATATACTGTCTGCCAGACATCTGTTTGTACAAAGTCAAAAAGATCCAAGGCACACGGTGTGCACCTGCGTAGATCTTTCTAGTCATCCATGGGGCAGTTGGGGGGCTTAGGGTTATAAAGATGTTCTTAACTCAAACCTGTTTATGTTGTAGAACTCTCCATGATCCTGTATGCTGGACCAAAGAGGGCATGGTTTTAAGAAAACGAGAGACAGGACATTGACTTTTGGTCAAGTTTTTGGCTTAGTGATAATGACTGTTCTGGTAACAAAATATAAAGTAGGGTATGTATACATTAGCCCCAGTTTGGCTTTTGTTTCTAAAAAAAAAAAAAACTACCCACCAGGCACTCTAGAAGACGTGCTGGCCGAGAGATAATAATGAGAAGATTCTTCATCAACTGGGCGATGAAAGCCACCTCTGATCCTTCAGATCGTTCCACGGCCTGCAGAAGAGACGCATGGTTACACAATAGTTTACTCACTTCAAAAATCTTATATGACTGATGATTTTTTTGACAGCTAGCAAGAGAGGCCACAATAATAAATGAGCTGTAATGATAGAGCGAACCAGCATGGTGAACAAATGACTTTATGGTGCCAACCCAGCCCAGTCTAGCCCTTTGTCTCTGATAATTACATCCAGTAGCAATTTGTCCAAGTTATCCTGCAGCTGGTAGAAGTAGGTACTGGTGATCATGCCCTCAGTGCTCCGGGTCAGGCAATCCCTGGCCAGCTCCACAATCTGGTGGTGGATGAAATTAAGGACCCCATCTGCCAGTGGTAGAACATTCTCTGGAGAGAAGTTGGAGATGAACACCCGGAGTCGATCCTCCATCTGTGCCGTGGCCTGAGAAGACCAAAGATGATCATTTAATTAGGTAGCAATGACTGAGTGGAGAAGACATTTAATCAAGGATACAGTTAGGTCCACAGACATAACAGTGATACAGAAATTCTTCTGGAAGATGGCTATGTAATGAAGCAACATCCTTACCTTAGGGAACCTCTCCTTATAGACATGATTCATCATCACTATTTCATTGTCATAAGATGAGGGTGACCGGCCAGGGCTGTAAAAGAATGGACAAGGTCTTCAATATTTCGTCAGTGTTTCCCTGAACTGAATTCCCATTGAATTAATAACTATGCTCCCTCACACAGTAAAAGTGTGCTTACATTCGCAGTGTATGGCCCATTGTTTTCTAAGCCAAGAGATATCTACTTCCAAATTGAATTAAATGGAAGATGTCATTGTGTAGGTGTGCTTATAAACCCCTCATGTTATTTTTCCAACTGTCTTTTGATTTTCAAACTCCAGACAAATGCTTTTTTGTTTTGTTTGTTTTGGACATAGTGGGGAAGGATTAGAATCTCTATTACAATTTTTTTTTCTTATAGAATGAAAAGTGGGGAGGACTTCTGCAAGGTTTTTTTGTTGCTGCTGTCCACATAGTGGAGATTTTCTCTCTTTTTCTTTCTCTGTGCTATTGTGGGACAGAGGATCATCAAAACAGAAAGTAAGAGTGAATCTTCATTGGAGATTCCAATAAAAATCTAAAAGGAATGATAATTTTTCTCCACTCCAAAAACTAAAAAGTAAAGTTTAGTTGGAGTTTCACCTTAATAATAAATATGGACAACACCCACTGAAACGCCCATATCTGTTATAATATACCATTGTTAGAGCCAGAGATGGAGGTTAACAATGCCAGATAAGCAGTAAGACTCAAAGATAGAGAAAGCATTTTAGATATTCTTTCATTGCTGACATTTTGCAGTGAATCTGCATTATGTAAACCCAAAAACACAATTACCCGAACCAACAATAACCAAATTCTACTCATAGTGAGTGAAGCCAAACGTGTCAGAGATTGGCACACTTCTGGGCAATTCAACTGATAAGTATAGTGCATTGAATCTTATATAGAGAGCTCCCTCCTTTATCTAACAGTCTGATGAATTGCTAATGAGCAAAATAAAGACAGGTCTTGGATCAGATTGGAAAACCAGTGCCATAGAAATACGGTACATATAATTCTCAGTCCTGATTCTTCACCTTGCGTTAACCTGTCATCACAATAAGTCATCTGACATTCTTATATTGATGAGCATCAGATAACACTGTATCTTTTTTTTTTTCTACTGAAAGGTGGAATGAGGTGCAAAAACCTATAAGAATCAATCAGAAATATGTTCGCTCACACTAATGAAGACCAGTTAGTCATTGGCTTCTGGATTACAAAAACATTTCTCCTGTATGTATGTAAATTTAAACGCAAACCGTATGCTTTGTTAATTGAAAATGCTTAAAAGAAGGAAGAACTGTTCCTGGTGTCATACCAAAATTCTCCCTTTCTCTGTTCCATATAGTAGAGTATAAAAGTGATAATCTGGTTGGCTATAGGATGTCATTGTCCTTCAAAGGAACACAGTTTTCTCTAAGACGTCTTCAATAAAAATTCAGAAACTCAAACCAACCACCCAGATTTTTTATTTCATATACAGTACAGTGAAATCTGATTGGCTGTTTATTGGTAGCTAACATTGAAGCTTTGCACTGCCATATTAAGAAAAGGAGTAGATGGATCCTAGCAGAGCACCTGAGTGTTTCTAGCTATACTCAGGACAGCTCAAATGGAAGCTGGAGTGGCCCTCCTACGTGCTGCCTTTAGAGTTCATTGAAATCTATGATCAGTGATTCCAAAACTTTTCCTAGAACTCATCTGGACAAGATCTGATTCAGACTGTATTCATCACACGCAGCAATTTAAAATAATAAACCACAGATGCGTACTTTGGGTGTTTTCTCATAGGATTCAATGATCCTTGAAGCTAACAAGTGAAAGGACCATCTGGGCCAGAAGCAAATAAGCTTGAAAGGGCCATTGACTGGACACAGACTGATAGGAATTCAGAGCAGAATAACATCCCTAAACCTCCAACTGACCTCAGGCTTCGAGACCGTGGTCTCACTGCAGGGGACCTTCGACCCCCATCATCATCAGGGATGCTCTCAGTGCTGCCAAAATGTTTGGAGAGGAAGTGAAGTTCATCCAAGGTGGGTTGGAAGGGAAGCTGGTGCAGACGTTCCTGAGATGAGGAGGAGGACTTCAAAGAAGACAGAAAGAAGAAAATAAGGAACCAAGAGTAATAGTTATTATTATTATTATACAGGATTTATATAGCGCCAATAGTTTGCTCAGTGCTTTACAATATAACGGGAGACAATACAGCAACAATACAGTTCAATACAAGAGGTGTTAGGAAGGCCCTGCTCCTTGGAGCTTACAATCTAAGAGTAAAGGCCCAACTTCCCTACAAAATGATTGTGTGGTGATTGGATCCTTCCAATGCAATCTGATGTCAATTGGTAAGTTTAGACTGCCATTGCCTTTCTGAAAATAGAAGCTGTTTGGCTGTCAGGAGGATCCTTTGGCTCCATTGTTCTTTGAGTCTCGGATTGAGCACAAGCGGGCAGATTAGGATCCCTGGCTGTTATTTCTTTCACCGCAGGTGCTCTTTAATAGTTGAAAGAGTGCTTTTGGTTGGTTTTCATGTCCTGTCAACATATTTCCGTACCTCTGGTTCCTGGAACTGCAACGCATCTGCACCTGGCACTGCAACACATCTGCAGTTGTTGGAAAAACAGGCTCTGTCAAATGGCAGGGTATGTGTTCAGAAGAGCTACCTACTGGCTGCCTCTACCTGGATGTCACCTATTGAAGTGGCCATGTACCACACTGCTGAAGCTGTGCTTGTGTGCCAGGAACCAAAGTTGCAACGGAGGTGTAAATGTGAGCATAAGGTTAGTATTTAAGCCCACTTTAAAAGGATTTATTACTTACTGACACAGTGGAGCTTGGGGTATTCGTTCCATATCCTGATGATGGGAGGGAGGCAAGGGACCAACGACGGCCATCTGTCCGGCTAAAAAAGTAAGAGCATTTACCCATGTATTACTGAGAGACAGCAAACCTAGAGTATATTAGGAGACACGATGCTTAATTATAGCAAAAGAGATAAACATATCCACCAGAACTTAAATCTGAACTCCAGGCAAACAGTTAAACACAAAGCTGAAATGCATTAACATAAACTGCACCAAAGGATTTATAATTCTGATAAAGTGATTCTGAACACACACTGTGTTATTTACAATGTCCCTTCTATTTCTGTATATGGATGATGGCACTGTAATTATTTTAATTAAAAAAAAAAACATTAAAATGCCTCTTTCCTAATCTATATACAGCTGGTACATGACTCAGCTCTTTCCCAGCCTGTCTGCAGGGAAACATAAGCAGGAGGAGCTTCTAGTCCTCTGTTGCTGGTCACATGTTCAAAATAAGAAAACAACCTTTAGAATACAGAGTAAAAATAAACAATTAATACCAATAAAATGTCGTATTATTTGTGGGAATAACATGGTGTGGTCGGATTTCTGCCAGTCGCACACTATGACACGCCCCTCCAGCGTGTGTCTTAGAATAACAGGTAGGTGAAGCCTCCATCAATATACATGTAATATCCCACTCCCATTGTGTTTAGCTGGTTAGTGGGCATGGAGTAGGAGGGAAAGAGTGGTCTGTCATTTACCAGTGCGTACTTTATAGTCACATGAGCGGTTCAGATGTGATAGGGAGGAAATGCTCATAGAAACTCACTGAAAACTGAGCATGTGCAGAGCTGCCAACACTGTTCTATAAAATCTCTAGCTGCATTGTGGAGTCAGACTGAAGGGGGAGATAGAGAACAGCCGGGTCAACCAGTTTTTTTTGCAGAATACAGAAAACAAATCTCATAGTGACTGAGTGAGCACGGAATACAGCATTTATTGATAGTTTTTTATGATGTGGATTTAGTGACACTTTAAGCCAGTCTTGTGATCCAGACATCCCGGCCAGACAGCATAGTAACATGGATGACCTAAACGTTCTTCTCTCATTAAAGCCCAATAAGAGTCTTATACTATTTTATACCTCTTTATTCTCCAACCCCCCCCCCCCCCCACTATGTTACCACCCCACAGTACAAGTGTCCCCATCCAGACTTGTGTTGCAGACAAGGGGAAGGGTTATGTTTACCCATATATGTTACTGTGTACTGATAACTGAGAGCACTTGGTCTAATTCTGGTGCTTACTGGACTGCACAATTACAAAAACAGATGTAATAGAAAAATCAGGATAGTTACTACAATTGCTTTCTGACAGGTTGGTCTCAGACCCTCTGCCTACTGATTGGACAATAAAGGAGGCTCACCACACTGTTTGGGGCATCTGTCTGCTCATTTTATCTCCCCTCTGAGTCCTGCCAGCAAGCTCACAGTGTTAAATAAAAGGCACTGTGCAATAAAGTAAAGCCATGAAGTTTCCCAACCCTAGCCCTCCCTCTCCTAATCTACGGTCTGCTCTGCAGGGGATAACAGAAAGACACTATACAGATGGATGCACATACTTAAAGGCGGTATATTTAAAATACATTTCATGTCCTTTTACCTAACACATAACTGCATTAAACTGGGATGTTATATTGTCTGCCGGAGCAGGGGCGGACTGACCATTTGGAAACTCGGGCACTGCCCGAGGGCCTGGGGTCAGTAGGGGGCTCCATGAGATGCCCCTGGTACCTTTTTCATAGGCTTTTTTGAGTTTGGGCAAGGACACAGGGGCCCCATGATCCCCTATTGCCTGGGGGCCCCATGAGTTGTCAGTCGCCCCTGTGCCGGAGTTCAGCTTTATTTAAATCATTACAACCTGCATGCTCTGTACCCCCTGGGGCTGTTGTGATCTGCCCTGTGCATGACTGCCAATTACAATAAAAATAGTGTGTGATTGATTTCAGCAACGGAAAGTGAGAAAAGACAAAGATACAGCAAACTGAATAAGTATAAAAAGTAGAGAGGTACTTGGAGGAAGGGAAGTCTCTCCTAGAGACGAGAGAGGAGTAATTTGCTTCTACCTGGCATTCACATAGTTACCCACCCCCCCCCCCCCTTGTCTGTTCCCCTTCTTTTTTTTTTTTTCTACCACCCCCCTCACCCCTTTCTCTATGCTGTGTCTTGTTTCTTATGCAGGCTATAGACGGCTCGAAATTTTTTCGAACGATAAACGAAAAATCGGTCGTTCGTTAAACCAACGTTACCACCAACGATTACAAAAATCGGCCAACCAAGTCATAAAGTTCACCCAGTATAACAGCCAAATCTTCTGTTCCTTCCAGGTCACGGCTCATGCGCATATTTTTTTTTCGTTAAAACGATTGTACGTTTTGGTCATCATTGCTGTGAAAATCGGTCGTTTTCCACTAATTTTCCAACATGACCGATAACTCAAAAGTGCAAAAAACCCGATAACCGGCCGACCAATTAACCTACTAACAGTGCGAAAATCGGCCGATTTAATCTTTCGGATGAAAAATCGGCCGATTTTCGAACCATCTATGGCTGGCATTACTCATGTTCCTCTCGATTCTTTTTTCTCTACCTTTTTTACATCTTCTACATATGAGTAATTACAATGGACAGGGGAGTGGTGGTCCCTTTGTGAGTTCTGGGTTACATTTCTGATTTTGAAATGTATTTTTCCTGTATTCTTTTGAATTCTGTACACACTTGAATTGCTATTGATGCTTTTCCTATGTATTTTTTTTGCCTGTACTGATATACTGTATGGTCACTTTTCTACTGACATAAATAAAGAATTTGAAAAAAAAAGGACAGTAATCCGTCTAAATAAAAGCATTTCCATAGTTTCTAATTACAGGATTGTCCATTGAAACTGTTAAGGCACTGCATTGTGCAAAGTAATAAAATTCTGAATGGATCCTAGCAGGGCCAGTGGAAGGATTGTTGTCTACACAGGCATTGGTGCATTTTGCTGTACAACTTCCCAACCCACCACCACCACCACCGTCCTCCCACCACCCCCCTCCACTCCACAATGCAACCCCCTCCCATCCCCAGCATACACTTTATTTGCGAACTATTAAACTAATCTGCATTTAAGATGAGTGTGACCGATGTGTGTGTAATGAGGGGGTGGGTTTATTCACTCCCCACATCCCCTCACTGTCTACAGCCACTCTGGAACCTCCTTCATGTTGCAGCTGTAATGTGATGGGGCGTAGCGTGAAGAACATCATACAGCATTGAAAATTTGAGCTGTGTTGAACTGCCACTAAATGGCAGTGTGTAATGAGGGGGAGGGGTTATGCATTCCCTACTTCCTCTCACTAGGCAAACTAAAATTCCCAAGCTGTGCCCAGTGGAAGAGAGGGAGCAGTGTTAGGAAATGGAAGACAGGTATTTTAAAAATCCAAAATTCCTAGCAAGTGGCTGGGGATTGGGATTTTACCATCCCCATCCTAGAGCTCTAAGGCAGATGCCTAAGCAACCTTATGCTGGCACCGACCCTGGATCCTAGTGCTCTCCTTCCCTTTCTCAGTGAGAGTGCTGTTGGGCTGTATTGTCAGCTCAGTACAGGAAGTTAGGAGCTGCTTGCATTTCTGGCAGGATCATCAGGTATTTTTCAGTACTTGCAGCGGTTTTAAAGAGACAAAACATAGGGAAACGTATATGTTCTGAGCACCGTGGAAACTACAAAGATAATGAGTAATAGTGTACAGGTTTTTTTAGGGTTCTTCACACATTTGGTACCAGCTGGATCTGAAACACAATTCTTTTCCTCCCTGAGATACTAAAGACGTGGTAAGTGTAACTCCTAAAAGCTCCTTCTACTTCACTATAGCGTTGTCCACATATTTGAAGCTTAGGCACTTAGTCATGTGACTAGGGTTGTCAAATCTGAACTCTGCTTATGCCCATAGGTAAAGATCATATGCATAAGTCCCTACACATGTAGTCAGCACTGAAATGATACTGGAAACATGGTAAGTGGAACTTGTAAAAGCTCCTCCTACTTCAGTTTAGCTTTGGACACATGTTTGATAGTCCACTCTAGGCACTTGGTGATGTGATCTTTAAGGGTAGGGCAGCCAGATCTTATCTCTGCTTGTACCCACAGGTAAAGATCCTATGCTTAGGCCTCTACACATGTGGTCAGCACTGAACGGAGGTTCTTCCAATATTTGATACCAACTGGATTGTATACACAATTTTTTTCCTCTCTGAGATCCTGGAAACATGGTAAGTGGAACTTGTAAAAGCTCCTCCTACTTCAGTTTAGCTTTAGCCACATGTTTGATAGTCACTTGATGATGTGATCTTAAAGAGTAGGGCTGTCAGATCTGATCTCTGCTTGTACCCACAGGTAAAGATCCTATGCTTAGGCCTCTACACATGTGGTCAGCACTGAACGGAGGTTCTTCCAATATTTGATACCAACTGGATTGTATACACAATTTTTTTTTCCTCTCTGAGATCCTGGAAACATGGTAAGTGGAACTTGTAAAAGCTCCTCCTACTTCAGTTTAGCTTTAGCCACATGTTTGATAGTCACTTGATGATGTGATCTTAAAGAGTAGGGCTGCCAGATCCGATCTCTTCTTGTATCCACAAGTATAGATCCTATGCTTAGGCCTCTACACATGTGGTCAGCATTGAAAGAAGGTTCTTCGCATAATTTTTACCACCTGGATTGTATACACAATTAATTTCCTCTCTGAGATCCTGGAAACATGGTAGAGTAGAACTTGTAAAAGCTTTTCCTACTTCAGTTTAGCTTTGGCCACGTCTTTGATAGTCACTTGGTGATGTGATCTTAAAGAGTAGGGCTGCCAGATCTGATCTCTGCTTGTACCCACAGGTAAAGATCCTATGCTTAGGCCTCTACACATGTGGTCAGCACTGAAAGGAGGTTCTTCCAATATTTTCTACCAGCTGGATTGTATACACAATTTTTTTCCTCTCTGAGATCCTGGAAACATGGTAAGTGGAACTTGTAAAAGCTCCTCCTACTTCAGTTTAGC